TCTACTATACAGACAAAAGTAATATACTAGAAGCCACAACAGATCAAATACCTGCCCCATAGATTACTTTTCCCAACAAGATTACTCTGGAAATCAAATCAGCTAAACAGATGAGGTGGCCCTCGAACTTGTTACAGTAGAAGTGATGTTGAATATTTCTTCCATTCGGAGAACATTACTGCTAACAGGTCGGGAAGCCTTCCATTGCGCCTCTTACAAAAACTTTTTAGTCTAGCGTCCCGCCCGGCGAGCCCATCCCTTTTGGAAGCGAATACATCCTCGCTGCCGACATCTGACCGCAGAAATTTGTAGTTTTGAAAGGGACTCAGTCACTGAAATGCTCACAAATAGTTGAATTACTAGCCCCAAATAGTCTCGACAGTAGTGGCTAAGTTCAAAACATCACGCGTCAGCAAAAATACAACCTTGTCATATCGAACAAAAACGTGCCCCACAGACAGTCAATTACTGGATTCCTCACTAGACAGCCATTTAACATGTATGTGAGACTACTACTTGCAGATACACACTTATACCTCACAGCAAAGAGAACAGAAAACTTACGAGCATCGATGAATTCAGGGAACAAGCGAAGAATTTCTGGTGGTAGTCGGCCACCAAAGTGAAATTCATCCACAACATCATCCGGCACAGAGACGACCACGTTCAAATAGCACTCCTCGGATGTATCTGTGGTGGATGTCGCTGGAGGACACGACTGCAGTTGAACAGGAGGGAGATTGGCTGGAATCGCATCCCTTGACTGCCTGTAAAAAAATCAGGAGCTGCTACCTACCGCAGTCCACTTTTTCATCTGCGGTGTTTATAGTTTCAGAATCCGAGCTGGATGTTGATGCAGTGGACAGATTGTCGCACGTTGCTCTCGCTAATAAAAAACCGAATAAGTTAGTATTTTTTAAGCAGGAACGAAAGGAGAAACGTCACTCAATGCCAAAACTGCCTGGAAATTGAAAAAAAAGTAAGACGCAGACGGTTTGCTTTAACAGATGCAAGCATTTCTCTAACTCTTAACAAGTTGAGCTGTTCTTATTGTCAGTGCTAAATTTTCCCAAAAAAAATTAAGAATACTCACAATGATCCCCTTCCGTTGAAACACCAGCGACTGACTCATCATCACTGCTAAGTTCCCTTTCTTCTTCGCAAGATGAACTGACGCGTCGTTCAGCTTTCGCTTTATTACCCGTTGTGACTAGCCTGAATAAGCGCCTCAATTTCCGAGTTCAGCCGACCTTCAGTCTCAATACATATTACGCCTACCGACCAGTAATTTATTTATTTAGATGCATACGTTCAAAGCGCGCCAATTACAAGATGAAAGCAGAAAATTAATCAGGCAAATCCCGGACTACATAAAAGAGAAGCAACATGAACACCAACATTCAAGTCCAATTTACATAGCTCTATGCGGTAATGTTTATATTCGTTGCCTGCAGAAGCAAGCATGGGTGGACTATGGTAATTTCGTCGCATTACATTTGTTCAGTAGGTTGTTTAGCCCTTCCAATTACTGATGCGCAAACACATTTGCCTTCGTCAACGTGCGAAAGTTACTTTAAAAGCGTCAAATCGACGTATAAAAGATGCTCTCAAAAAAGAATCCTGCTACACTAGTGAGTAGCCAAGCAGCGTTGAAAAAAGAGACCTCTTTACCAGATCAACGCGTTATAAAAGTACAAAGAATTGTTAAATTGTCATGATGGAGAAGAGTTTTACCACTGAATTTTTGCAAACCCAAAACCCACCAATACCAGCGAAGGAATTCCAATTTTACACGCAGTGATTGTAGCTGAGATCTGCATGGGACTTGGCAAACGATTTTTCTCCGTTGCTGGTAATAGTGGAGGAACTATCAAGGCGAAGCCAGAGCGGATGAAGGGAGGGGGACTAAGATCTTCGCCACTTTAGGGACTAGATGGCTCAAATTTCAGAAACAAGACTGCTAAACATGTTATTAATTTTGATACCGAATAATTAAATTTTTTTCCAAAATAATAATAGCTATGAGAAATGAAAACAAGTTATTACAAGAAGTTTAATTATTCCATAAAGTACTTCTGAAAAATTTGGCGGCCATTTCAAAGAGGAAAGAAGACCCATCTGCACCGCCACCGGTGGTAGATTTGTACCTTCTCTCTTAACAATTAATAATAACTAGTGGAAATGGACAGGAAAGAGCAACCAACATGCGCAAAAAAAAAAGCAAAAAAAAAACCGTCTCACTCGCTATGTACATTGCTGAATTTGAACGCTTCACGAATTTGCTTGTCACCTTTGCGTAGCGGCCATGCTAAACTTCTCTGTATTCTTCCAATTTCAGTATATGTTCAGGATTGAACAAACAGGTGGAGACCGAACCCACAAGACACGGCTGAACCTATCGAGGAACGAAAATTGTTGATTCACTTCAAACAGAAGGACAACATTCAGAGAACAGCAGGACATTTGATTGAGACAATTACCGTTAGGTAAAAGGATAAATAGCAAGCAAAGAAGTATGGATGGATTTTAAAAAAAAAGTCTTCCTATTAGCCAAATCACTGCACATCCGTAAATTGAAGCTCAATCGCATTGCTAGATGTGGGAATGAGGAAGAAGAAAAGATCAAGCAAATAAGCACTGCCGCAACACTAGGAAAGCAATTCAAAACCCTCATTCAGTTACTTAGCGGCAAAGAGAGCAAATGGCTGAGTTGCATGAGCGAACGAGTTGCCGCGAGACTTTCCAACTGCTATTGACTGTTACTGGAAACATTCGAAATAGTATGCACTTGTGCCACTAAAAGTCTCACTATAGTGACATTCTACAGTGCAAGCAAAACTCACTGTTCCCTGCCTGAATTCCGCAAGGCTACCGATCTGCCCAGCCGTTTCCAGTGTTCTGCTGCTACATGATCTATCTCTGGGTTTTCAACAGCGCAATAGCCACAGCTAAACAAAAATTTTGAAGCAAAAAGAAGAAAATCCACAAGTATTCAAAATAAACACTAGTTAAAATCTAATGCAATGAGACTCATAGAGGAATTTTGCTCTAATCATGTGAATTATGTAACAAGCGATACATGACGTATATAACGCCGTGACTACCCCCGCCTGGAGTACCACATGGCGATTGGAGCCAAAAAACTCAAACATGATCAAAACACAAGGAAAGGGGATTAAAACAAACATTTTCTTATTATGTTGTTCCAAAGCGTGTTCAGACAAGCGCAGCGGAGCTGTTGCTATCCATCCACACTCAGAACACTGCGAATTCGAAAAGTGTTTCTTGTTCCAGTGTCGATCGAGCTGGAATACATTAAAAGTCAGCCGGCAGGTAATGTGATGCCAGTGAAAGTGATTTAGGCTCAGAATGACTCTACAGTAAGTCTACAGGCATACAAGTTACGTATACCAAGGAAGAAGCACAGCAAATATGAAGTAATAAATAAAACACCTTGGCCTGATAGATAATTAGACAGAGAATGATGTCCTTACCTGTACGCGTTGTGTGAATATCAGATCACAAGCTATGCAGAGAAATGATCCACGCTTTCGACACGAATCTCTGTGAGTCCTAGAGGTACATCGTATCACTTTCAGTGATGTTTACCGAAAACAACGCTCACCTTAACTCTGCCGCGCGAGCAAAAGACGCGCCACAGGAACAGACATGAGCCTGATCTCGCTGTTGCATCTCATGTGCTTTGAGCTTCGCAAACCCGTCAAAAATCTCCCCACAGTGACTGCACTTCATCGGACGATGGGTGTTCTGTTAATAAGAGATATTACTGTGATAGGAGTGAGTTGAATGCTGAGATTCACAGATGTATGACTGGTCAAAATCAAGATAGCAAACCAGCTTTTTGCGCATAGTAACGCTACGTAATCTACTGGATAGCCAACCACGCTAACCATTATTGGTCTGCTCGACTAGCTTTTAGCGGGTTATGAATCTCAGCCTATACAGATATGGAAAATTACCGTGGAGTGGCGATCGAGATCTGTTCTCGTCGAAAATGTCGTTCCACACTGAACGCATAAAAGACTAGGAATGAGATCAGAGCAAAGGTGAGGACTTGGCAGAGACTTGACGGCAGTAGTTGAGGTAGTTGAGGTAGGTTGAATAGGCGCTGAAACCTTGTACAATCATGGAAGATGGTTGTTTGTTGCTTTTCTCACTCATCCACGTGATGTGATATACAACGGTCGCTCTTATCCACTGGTTTTACTGTTTTATTCGCTTTGTTTCTTTCGCACGCGCGTAACCGCGAGTCAACAAATGTTAAATGTTAAAACCAGGTGCAAAAAAGGGCTGAGCGCCTACCACTTCAAAGCTGAGGGGAAATTGTGCCGTAGCGGCGCAATTTCCCCTCAGCTTTGAATTATTACGGAAGCAAACGGTCACATATTTCTGATCTGATCAGTAAATTGAGCTGCTACTGAGTTGGCCTAGTGTGGCCATGGAAATCGTGACATTAAGTTGAATTCTGATGCTGTGGCATTATATCAAGGTGTGCCAGAACTAATGGTGCACCCTGTAGAGAAAGAAATGACCGCGGCTGCTGACAAGTGCAGCTGAGGGTTATGGACTTGTTCTGTGACAGTGGTAAGGCAAGATGGACTTAGATGATTAGTTGGAAGCTGAGCATAACTAAAATGCCCACCAGAAAACTGGCAGATGAGCAGGATTAGAGCTCAAAGGAGACAAGCAATATCATGAAATAATCATTAAAATATGAACAGATAAATGAATAAATAGGAAGCCGACTAGTAGATCGAATGAGACGGAAATCGAATTAGAAGACCGATCCACTGACAGATTGGTGAACGATCGGCATAGCTGGTTGTCGTTAATAATCAAAGTGAGTGAATGTGAACACAGCACCAACCAAGTGAGCTAATTAATGAAAAGATAGCGTGCACTAAACAAGAGAGATGAGAGATGGAGTGGTGGAGCGACAAAGAAGAAAAGAAGGGCAAATATCATCAGAGAAGGATTGAAAACATCTGATTGGGTAAAACTACGTAGAGCAACTCACTGTCGTCGATTCTCCATTTGTTAGCAGTGATTCTATCTTCCAGGTCAGCTCCGTCTTCTGATGCATGGCAACGACCAATATGCCTAACCAAATGAGGCTAAATACGCAACTATAGGCGCAACTTAGTCAAAATACGTTGAAACATCTCTGCCCTAAACAAACGAAAAGTAGCAGTACTCCAGCCAAGATTACCTTTTGCACAAAACTACGCTCACAAAACGGGCAACCCCATTCCCTCTCCTTGATATGAATCAACTGATGACGTTGAAGATGCGATAACCGCGGGAAATCCTGTAGATCGCATGGTAATCAATAAAAGAAGAAATAGCGATAGCACTAGCATGGAGCCCACCTCGCCTCACCTTGCCGCAGATCGCACATTCCAGTGGTTTCTTGTCTTCTTTCTCTTTGGTATGAACTCTAGCCATATGCTTCACCAGATATCTCAAAAACGCATTCATCATCGGTTTTCCATCCACATAGCGTGGTAAGAATCAGCTCAAAGGCATCCATAAAATGAGAGCGCGGTTCTGAGATGAACCCGGAGAAAAATGCTCGAAAGAGTTAAGAAAACTAACAAAACTCTTGCGTTCACAGCGCAAAGTACATCTGCGCGTTAGATTTGCCGCTGCTTATACTGTCAGCCGAAGTATAACGATCATTCCACTTATGTGAATATGTACAACCGCGCTTGCGCGTTTTACATCTGCACAAACAAACAAACTATAGATCGGAAATTCACGAAGAAAAAAATCAAATTAGTGCTGATGACAATGACAATCCTATTTAAGTAGCGCTTTCATGAAGAGTAGAAAACAGTCGTCTCAAGGAGTATTCGCAAAGATTTCCAACGACAACAGAATGTCCCTGAAAATAACAGAACCCACCTTTTACAGGCGAACGTCCTTTCGCATATCAGACATTTTAGGGCAGTTTCTTTAGCCATTCCTTTCTACCATAATCTGTGTTTTCTGAATAAGCATTACATATAAAAAGCTCCATACAGAAACAAGGATCAAAAACCAAGCATCAGAAGGTTTCCAACGCCTTGCACAGCTTGATTCTACGCCATTTTGTTACATTTCATTAATTATGGTCAAAATATAAAATACGCAAATCATGTTTGGAATCGAGGAACGACCAGCGTCCTGTGAATATCTCTTAGGTTTGGCACAAGCACTGTCTCAAGAGGTGAAATACATATTGAAAGTAACGAAAGACCGAATGTAAGATGAAGTCTTCCTTCGGAGACCATAACACATCGAGGTTAGTGTTGTGTAAGCAACAAGAGGAGCGATGATGATAAAAAAAATAGAAGAAACAGCAGCTCAATATGGCTTGATTTTGTCCTTTCAAACCAGCGCTAACATGGTACTGAGACAAGGGAAATAAAGAAGAAATACAAAGATCAAAACTCGTCATTGCAGTGAATTAACCAAAACCACACCGTATGTAAGAGGCACGAAACTACAATTCGTTCTGAAGCGGGGTTCACGACAGAAAAGAAATCAGGAGCTAAACCGTCCTGGGAGGCAAAGTTGGTGCATTCAATTCTATCGATATGGCGAATGGTCGTTGAGCCGAGCAAGACTCAGTCGCTGATAGAAGAACATGGGGGAGTTGAGTACCGTCACCTTCTGATACTGTATCCACTTTAGCTTACATGACCGATGAGTCGAACTCCAAAACTCACATAACCTCTGGCACAAGTCGGCCAATTCTGCCCCAAAACTTCGAAATGGAAATTTTCACCCAAACTTCGCCTAGGGGGGGGGGGGGTCGTTTGAGGTGCCGGATAGTGCCGCTTCTTTCAGATACCGTGAGCACTCGCTCGCTAATTTAGATAATTAGTTTCGGTTTACTGGGGGAGAGTTCTGGCACGGTTCACCCATCATATCAGTTGCTACCTATTTTAGGCAATGAGATCTCACAACGTTGTCATCGCTCACGAGGCTACGATGATTAATTCCCTGAGGGTCTCAGAGCTCACAGTCTCACATTCTCCGATGAGTGAATAATTAATATTCTTGCCCAGCACTCAACTCTTGTTTGATTGAATCTCCCTGTGGCCGTGAACAAATTGTGCACATGAAAATAAAGTTATCATAGGGACATCACTGAATCGCTATCATCGCTGAATTCAATATGAACATTGTCGACCGAAGCTTGAAGTTGATCTAATCCGGTCAGCTTCTCCAGATATGATGGGCAGTTCATGACCTGAAAGCCGTTATGTTATGATAAATATTTCAAAGAAAAAATATAGACCGTAGGATGTAAGCCTCAAACAGCGTATCCTCACGTTTTTACATTTAAACA